TCGCAGTGTAGACAAGGCCTAATCATCAGTGCTTAATTTGTGTGATTTTCAAATGCAGTGTATAGCTCTCTTTGTTACTGAGGGACCCTTCAAATTGTTAACTAGCAGAGTGGAACTGTTGTCACAGTGACTTTCCCTGAAAGCGATTAGTTACTGTGCTTTCCAGTTGTGCCAAGGGCTGGCCTGTGGGGTTCATGAATATACTTTTGGGACTCAGGGGTGACTTCGAGCAATCTGGGATTCCACTGATGGTATGAAGACTTCCCTGAGCTGGCTGGATGGATGCCTGTTTGTAAACAAGCTGGCTTTTGACCTTGCATTATATCTTCTGGCTCCATGGGTAGTAGAGCAACTCATTGGAGGCAGCTGCTATGCTGAAGGCTGCTGGTGCAGATGAGGGGGTCCCAATCTTCTCTACCTTTTGCAAAAGTAGATGTTCAAGAAGGGAGTGAAGAGGAAACATTGTGAGCTTAAAGAGGCCTATGGGCCTGGAGGAAGAATGAAGCCCAGTGAAGGGGGAGGAGGAAAAGAGGCAATATAGGAAAGCCTAGAAGAGGGGAGAGGAGTTGAGTCAACCTTGACTCATGAGTATAACTGGTTTATGAGACCTCAAAGAGAAGGAATGACAGTGGAGTGACTGGAAAACAAATGGAGCTAATGAGGGAAAAGAGGAGAGGCAAAATATAGGGTAAGGTGATAGGTAGGAAAAGGCTCTGGAGATCAGGAAATAGTGCAAATAGGATACAATTTCCTTCTCATGAGAGAAAATGACAGAGCAGTGGACAAGAAGGAAGAAATAGAAATGGTATAGAAATGCATAGAATTTTCTTGTATATGTAAAAAGGACATGGAATAAAAAGAGAGGGACTTCCAAGTTACATTTATTTAATTTATGCTTCCATATATCCAGTGCATGGCTGTTATGTAATAAGGAATGAGGCAACTACTCTGAAAATTTATTAGTATTTCTAGTGCTCTGGATTTTAAAGCTTGGGCCACCAAAATTTCTAATGTGAATAAGTCCACTGAAAAATATCAAGATATTGGCAATGATGCTTTCACAAACCCAAGCAGAAGCAAGCGGGTGGGATCCACTTTTTGCAGGAAGCTCATTATCTTATTTTTATTTACAAATGAGTGAGTGAAAGTTGGGTGGGCCCAGAAACTCATCTTACCAGCCCTCCCAAAATCAGAAGGGTGGCTCTGAAAGTATTATTTTTAAATAGACCTAAAGTGCGTTTACAGTATTTGAGTAAAATTAGGGTACTTACATGCAACATGGAAGATTACATTAGTCTGTATAATGTTTACTAGGCATGTCTTTCATAAGAGGAATGCAAAAGTATATAATCAAAATGCTGCCTGTAGCAATATGGAATTAGGGACAAAAATCTTATGTGCCTATTACCAAAAGAGGTTTTACCTCATCAGAAAGCTAGCACCTCTGTAATGTTTTCACAAGCTATTTTAAATGTTGAGTTAATTCTTGTAAATTAAATTGCCACCTACATTTTAACTTAGGGCAGTATATTTAATTTTTTTATTTTATCTGGGAAGCTCTTTGTGAATTATTTTGTGCTTTTTACAAGTTTAAATTAAAGTGTGAAATATGCTCTTGCCTTTTATAGTAACTGGAATACCTCCTAGGCTCTGCTGTTGCATTGATCTACATACAATATACCTGACTATTTTCCTTGACCTTTTACTGTATTGAGAATTAGTAAACGGGCATGTTGAAGTGAGAAGCATATAGTACAGCTGAGAAACAGACATACAAAATTATCCATTCTGTATCATTTGACCCAATTTGGCTGTTTTGTCATAGCAATAAATGCACTATGCAATGCTTCTTTTGTGTCACCTATGTTAAAAAATAAAGGCAAAGCACTACTGTTTTTTTGGCTTTAAAAAGTCTCATTTGATTTGCCTTGCACCATAGACAAACAACTAGAAGAACATAGTACCTCGACCCAGAAGTCTTTTAAGAAAATGTCTTGCTTAAAAAAATTTTTGACACCATGCACTATAACTTAAATTCTGATTTTTTTTTTTTTCTTTTTAAAGCAGTCATCTGTTTAAAAAAAAAAAAAGATGTTTTATGTTATATAAAATACTGAAAGGAAATATATGCTGCAAGTGAAAATACTGTGTATTTAATCCATGGACTGTCTTCCTAAGTAATGTTAAAATTCGCATATAATATTCATGGATCATAGTCTGCCTTTGGGGCTAGCTGAAAGATGTATTAATTTTCATGTAACCAAACAACTCTGTGAACTAAACGTCTAAAGTGTTTCAAGCATAGGTAAACCTGGCAAAGACTGGAGGTATTTATCTTGTTTCCCATAATACACAAACTAGCATGTTTGCTACTTCCTCCCACTCTTGGTCAAATAATACCTTGTTCTGGAAGTCTGCCAACACAAAAATGGAAGGCACTAATTGAGCTTCATGGGGGATGGGGAAATATTACCTTGTTTTGTTTAACATGAATTCCCACCCTTATTCAGTGGATATATGACTACTGCTCTGACAGTACCAGAGATGAATGCATGTAAGGCGTAAACCTAAAAGGTGACTGAAATCTATCTCTTGGGAAGAGTTCCCCAATTATACATATTGGCCCAATATGTATAATTCTCCTTTGCTGAGCCATATGTATTTCATCTTTAATGTCAAATTTGTTCCTGCATAATTAAAAGTTGGAATAAGGCTTATTGAACTACACAGTGGACCTGGTTTCTGAAAACTAAATAAGTCCTTTTAGTTTCATACGTAGTCACTAACAGTGATGTTTTTGGAACCAAGCTAGTAGTTGACAGTGTTGTATCCGATTGCTCTCCTTCGGCTATTACTCCCTGGTGCTGAAGCAGTAAATAAAGCAATCATGATGTGAAATTATACAATAAATATCAGATCTAGGTATGTGAAGTGACAGAGTGCTTTAAAAGACTGCTAACGTTACTGCGCTTGGTTGTGTTTTGCATCATACCAAAATGATTTTTACACTAAATCTTGCTTGGTGCTACCCACAGACTTTTTACACATGCTCTGGGTGTAGGGGGGCGGCACTTTAATTAAAGTGACTCCGAGAGCCGGTCTAATTAAAGCGCTGTAGTGTCTTGTGTATCAGCATCCCCGCACTTAAAATGTCAGCAGGGTGCTTGAGCTAAAGCTTGTTGAGTGATGTTTGATTCAAGTGCGCCTGCCACCATTTTTTAATGTGAGGACACCGATGCACAAGATGCGGGGGCTGCTGGAGTGACGTAATGACCACGCTTCAGCAGACTCGATTAATTGAGTCTGTTCCGACCCACTGGTATTACAGAGCATCAGACCAGCCTCCCCGCTCATGTACAGACACTCCATGGGTTCACCATACTAATGGACACATTTTCTCTGTTTTATTCTGGCAAAAGTACAAGAAAACTAGTGCACCGGAAGGGCTCGGTGAGGCAGAGTAGCATCACTTTGCTAGCAGTTTGTTCTTAAAGAATTGGTCACATACAACTGCTCATACTTAACTGACATATTCACAGCTCTGCATCTACAGTGTTATGGTCCCCAGCTTTATCACTTGACTTCTGTCCATAGGTTGTCTGGACAGAAGGGTATCTGCTTGCATTTGGCCCATGCAATGAGTATTTCTAATGCAGAGCTAACAGAAATATTGGTGGGGTGGAAATCCCTTTGCCACACAGGACAGTGGCACACATCCACTCTTGGCCTTATAGTCTTATCAGACCTCATGGTAACTGAATGCAGTATGTCCAGTCCTGTTGCATTTGTTAGGCAAACCTACCCGAGTCACCTGATAAGGGGAGGGGGCATTTCTGTTTGTTTGTTCTTGTGTTTTTCCTTCTCAGGATGTTGAGGGTTAGGAGCATGTATCATGATGTCAAAGCTATTTCTAGTAAAGATTAGACTTGCTCTGCAGGTTGTCTTTTTAAACAGATTATTGTTTGGCAAGTATGTCCTAGTTAAACTAGCCAGTCGGTTTCATTGTATGTCACAACATTTGAACAAATGAGCAGAATAGCTGGCTGAAAGGTGGTAATATCGTATTAGCTTTTTGAAAACCGAACTCCACCTTTTGAACTTCCAAATTCTATTCTATTCTCTCACTTTCTGATAGACAGATTCTTCCCACTACTGGGGCTACCTTCGAACTGAACTCATACTTCATTCAGTCACATTGACTACAGTAGTGTGCCTGTACAAGGCTGAAATGTGTTAAAACTGCCTTGTGAACAGATTAATTAGTGCCCTTTTTGTCCACGTGAGAGAGTATTTTGGTCTTAAAGAAGGGAATTTAGAATGGCATGAGACATGTATACCTCACATTACTTTTAGTCTTAACAAAAGACTTAAAAGACCACACAGCCAAACCCATTTTTAAAGAATGACTTCTGTGGACCACTTAAGTTCTGTAGGAATTCCAGTGTCCATCTCTGTCCATAGTAGACTTTGTAAATTCCCATGAATGTCATTGAGATCATGTGAACAACAGAACTACTTAGTATGAGTAAACGTGAGGTGGACCTGGCCCATTTCCAATCTCTTCATAGCCAGACTTCTAAGTTAACTGGACAGTTCTAGGTGTGGGGTGTCCCGTTGCTGCCCCCCCCCCCCCCCCCCGCTTGACCTACCTTACAAATCCCATAAGATTACTGTGAAGCTAATTTTCAGAATCTAATTCGCTATATATTTGCTTTCTGTATCTCTGGGTTTATACAATGTAAAGATTATCCAGTTTTTGAGTTTGTCTTGGTTTCTCAAATATTTGTATGATACTGAAATGTTTGGGTTATAAACAAAGAAGACCATGAGTATTTTTTTTAACCAGACCCTTCCATTTGAATTAAATGTGTAGTAAATTTAGTGAAACTAGCAAAATCCATAGGCATGGTGTCACTTCCTTTTTTCCAGAAGGTTCTGAGTATTAGTTTTTAGAACTAAGATTAATTGGTTTTCTCAAGGTTGGCAACTTAAAGATTATTTTCACAACTATGCAAAATAGACTTAAGTCAAAGTGTGCTTGCATGTGTATGTGCATTTGAGTGTGTGTGTGTCATAGACCTTTCCTGCTCCTTAAGGAAAGCTTTCTACTCACCAAATATTTTCCAAGTCCTGATAATTTTTAGTTCTTGAAGAAGTGGCTTAAAACTCCATTTTCCCAGTCTTCCAGAAGCATTAGCACCTTCTAAAGTACTTTGCTTGTGAATCGTACTGATTTGGTAAATCTAGTTAGCCCCTTTGAGTGTTTCTGATGTCCCTGTCATTGTGGTATTCTGCATATAAAGATTTAAGGTAGATCTAACATTATCCGAGGGTACCTCAACTGTCAGCTCTTCCATGCTTCATTTGCTTTTTACTCTTTTCTTTTCTTTTTTTTCTCTTCATGCTAATCATTATCTGGCCATGAGAAAGGATGTCGGCTCACCTTTGGGGGAAGGCTTTTGCGAAAAGGTGGGTTTTGCATTGTGTTCTGAATACAGTCAAGTTTAGGGTCAGTTATAGCTCTTGCAGTAAGAAGTTTCACAGCTGGAGACCCTTTGTTTCTAAGTCTTCCTCAGCTTCAGGAATAGCATATCTCTGATGTAAAGATGTCGCATTTACTTGGAAATGGAGAGCTGACCTTCTAGGTACTAGCCCTGTGCCTTAAAGATAAAGACTTTAATTTGCAATACTGCATGTGTCAAGACTTGGAAAGAAGGGATTGTTTGATGATTATGGTACTGGGCTGGAATATGGGATTTTAATACTGGCTCTTCAAACCAATGATCTCTATTGTTAAACTTAGTCTCTTGGATGGTGAAGTTTTTCCTTAGGTTGTAGCTGTGTTGGTCTGAGGACATAGGCAGACAAGGTTCTTTGAGTAAATCCGATATCTCTTATTAGACCACTCGAATTTGAGTTGGTCTAATAAAAGATATTGGATTTACCCAAAGAACCTCTTGTCTTCCTTAGCTTGCAGAATTACTTTATCATCAGATTGGGGTCAGACATTGAGTTCTGTGGCAAGTGCCATAGATTGAAGATGACCGCCTTTTTTTTAAAGTTTATATCCATGTATGACAGCAGGCTTTCAAAATTACGAAGGCTTATTACAACTGAAACCCTAGTTGCTTCAGTTTTGTTTTTTTTTGTTTTTGTTTTAAATGCAAGCTGTCCAGACTTTCTCTTTACCTTCCGGTTGAAGGTCAATGATATATGAAGGCTGGACTATGACAGACACTCTCACTGAAGCAAAACAATTGAGCAGAAAGACGCAGGGTATCTGTTAGGTTGGGACTCTGGAAACACGTGCTTCTCTCTAAGGATAGGCAATGTGATGATCCCAAAAATGTTACTGCTCCTGGGGGTGGGGAACTGAGAATCATCTTGTAGTGCAGGGTAGTTATATCAATGGGTGAGGGAAGCTATGTTGCTAGGCAGAGGAAGGTAGTAGCTCTTTTCAGCCGGATAGGTACCACTGCTTGCTCAGAAGTATTTTATGGAAGTAGCTCTTAGCAGCTTACATCTATACTTCTTCCTCACTGCGCTTGCTGTTTTCCTAGCTTTCCCAAAAAGCAGTTACACTGCACCTTGCAGAAGGACTTGGGCAGGTTAGAGTTGCTTTTTATTTTTCCATGTGCAGAGACCTCATCTCTCAGGAGCAGCTTTTCCTGTTTGTCATTTTGTTTTGCATTGACTTGTGCCACATGCATTGACAAAGGTGCATGGCACCTCAACCTTCAGTTAAGGAATGAAGACTGGGGCTTCAAAAATCAAACTTGTTAATTGATTATAAAGGAGAGTACTTCTGCACAGATCAAACACTTACTAACCATTGTCTTCTTTAGAAATGGTGCTTTGAACGATAGCAGCAGTGAGGATCCTCAGATAGCTTGTGTCACTATTGCAATGTAATATATTGAAACATGGAACTGGAAAGGGATTTCTTGGGTCAGAGTCCAGTCCCCTACTCAGAGTATTCATGTCATACAGTCGCTTTCATAAACTGATCAAGAGTCATCTTGAAAGTCACTTTTATCTATACTTACTCTTGTTGGAAGGGTGTTTTGTAACTTTGCTGTCCTTGTTATAATGCAGGACCTTTAAAAATTACAATCTACTTTAGGAAGGTCATCTAAAGCCTCATCTACATTAGGCTGGTTCTGCTGTCAGAAGTTTGAGCAGCAGACAACAACTACCATTGGGAACCTGGCAGAGTGCTTATGCATCTAAACAGCTTATAGTTCTGTATGCTCCACTACAACAGTTGTGCTGCAGAGGCCAAGTGCACCAGGAAAGACACCAGGTACTTCAGGGCCCCCTGCAGCCAGCAGGAAGTACAGCGTGTCTGCACATGGCTTCCATGAGCGATGATGGCACAAGCCTTTTCTTTTTTTTGGTTAGAGGAGTTGTGTTACTCTGTCACTGGAATGAAAGGAAGGGAATCCCTGCCACAGGGGATCTCTGAACATAAATGCACAGAACCAGTTCCACTAGCAAAATTATGTAATGTAAATCAAGGCCTAAGCTGCTATGTGGAGAACTGCCTTTGTTGGAAGAAGGAAAGCTAGTGTAAATCAAGTACTCTGGGGAAAAAGGGAAAGTGGAAGGTTACAGAAATCATGTGGGGGAGGATACTATTTTTTTTTCATTATTTTGCAACAATGAAATGATGAATAACAGCAGAATTCTTTGGTAATTGACATTACTGTTTTAGGGATTTTGGCTTTGTCCTTGTATGTTCTCAGGCTTTATCCTGTTCTTCTAACAGTTCCTTAAAGAAAAAAATTCTGTCTAAATTTGTGTAAAAATAAATAAATAAAATAAAAACATACAAATGACAACTGCCGAACTCAAGTGTTGCACCCAGTGCAGAATGATAATATATTTAACCTGATCTTGACAGAGAAAGGAATTTGATCCCAGAATTAAAATTTTGTATTATTGTAATCATAGTGATAATTTACTTTGGACTTGATAACATTTGTTATACTCAGAATAGAGTAGAAATCGGTAACACTCCCTCTCAGTGTTTTAAAAGGACCAGTTTCAGAAAAATGAAAAACAATTATAAGGCAAATGAGCTGGGAGGAAAAACTAAACAGAAATGTCAGTTAGAAACTGCGTAGAACCACTGTACTACATGCTAAACAGCACACATGGAAAAGACAGACATAGCAATGAATATAAACTAAAAAGTAGGAATTGTAGAAAAATAATAGAAGCAAAGGGAACCAAGGAAAAATTACTGGTTAGCAAAGTCAACAGCAATAGGAGGCGCTTTAGGTGTACTAGCAAAAGGAATGCTAACAATTACGTTAGCCTGTTGCTATATGGAAACAGTAGAATTGCCAATAATAATGCAGGGAAAGTAGAACTGTCCAACAAAAATTTGTCTTTTTGGGTGGGGAGCAAGATGGAAAATATTTCATTGTACAGCATGAATAAATTAATTTAAACAATAACTTAAACAGCAACTGCTACAATTTGGTATCTGAAACATCAGGTTCATGTACCTTGCCCTCAGGAGTTTTAAACGAGCTGTCAGAGGAGTTCTCTGGGCTGCTGATGGCTTTTTAAATAAGTCTTTGAGCACTAGGGAAATTCCAGGGCCTGGAATAAAGCTACCATTATGGCCCTATTTAGAGGGTAAACAGGATGTAGACCTGTCAGTCTAACATCAGTCCCAGGCAATATAATGGACCAGCTGATATGAGACTACCATTAACCTAGAATTAAAGGAGGGTAATATAAATAATGCCCGTCCATTTTGATTTATAGAACATGGAACTGTGTATCAACCAAGTTTATAATCTCATCAAAAAAATAAAGGTTGATCTGACTCTCAAGTCTCAACATACAGTTGTAAATACAGGATCATAATCAAACAGATGTTTCTCCTGGGGCCCCCACAGGTATCAGTTCTTGGCCGTGCTGTTTAATATTTTTTATCCATTATCTGGAAGAGAATGTAAACTCATTATGATAATTTTTATTGTTGCTGTTGTGGGGTGAGGGGTTGGGGTTTTTTTTTAGTTTTTTTCAGGGGGGTTGTTTTGTTTGTTTTTTTGCAAATTGGACAAAGATTGGTAGAGTAGGGAATAAAGGGGAGGATGTGTAACTGATTCAGGATGATGTGGAATGCATGGAAAGCTATGTGCAAGAAAGCAGTGCATGACAACATACATTTTTATATCCAGGAACAACAAATGTCTTTCATGCTTAAAGGATGGGGCATGCTTCCCTGGCAAGGATTGGTTTTGAGAAGGATTTGAGGGCTCTTCTGGAGAATCAGCTGTGCATAAGCTCTCAATATGTTACTTTGACTAAAAGGAATAATGCCATCTTGAGATGTATAAACAGAGGAATATCAAGTAGAAGTAGGGAGATCATCTTACTTTTGTACTAGGCACTAATGTGACCTGTGTTGGATGTCTGTCCAGTTGTAATGTAACATTTAAGGAAGGGTATTGGAAAAGTCAGAGATCATTAAAAGATGAGCCACAGAAATGAAGAATTGGAAAACAAGTTCAGGGGGCTCAGTATACTTATCAAAGAGAAGGTTAACAGGTGATATGATACAGCATAAGCCTCAGTGTAAGGAACAGAAGCCTGGTAATAGGTGGCTTTTAAGACTACGTGGCAAATCCAGAGTTGAAATGAGATGTAAAGTATTAATTGTTAAGTGTTGATAATTAACTATTGTAACAGCTTGGTCAGGGTTGTGGTGGATTCCCCACTTCTGAGATTTGGGACAGGGTAGGTGGGATTCAAGCACAGCTATTGGACTTGAGTGAATTCAGAGAAGTGTTGACGTGATGTTGTAGCCATGATGATCCAGGAAATACATGAGACACAAGCATTTTTGTAGGTGATAACTTGTTGAACCAACTGTGTGGTTGGGCTAGAGTTAGACAAGGTTTTGAGTGTCACAATAGGAAGGATACTGTGGTACCCAAAAGCTTGTTGAAGTCTATACCAACCATGCAGTTGGTTCAACAAAAGATATCGCCCACAAAATTCCTTACCTCTCGCATGAATTCAGAGAAGTCCTTTTGGCCTGTCTTACGCAATGGGTTAGGCCGGATGATTGCAACGATCCTTTATAGTTTTAAATTTAAGAAAGAAGTTAAGTGTCTTGCATTACAATAAACACGAATGCATTTGCAGCCCTTGCTCACATCACTATTGTGATTTCACACCCCTAGCTCAGTTTGGAGTTTGCAGCGATGGTTCTGGAAGAACTTGTTCAGATTATGGAGGGTTGCACTGACCCTGATTTTTAGCTTATCCGTGCTGGACCCCAGCTAGAAGAGTAACACAAGCTGCAAGTTGTCTTAAGAAGATTTTTTTAAGCAATAGTTGAGTAGCTGGGACAACCATTACGGGTTGGGAGGGAGGGTAAAATGACAAGGTGGGACTCAGAGTAGGTGGCAGACTTGGGAGCTGGAAATGTTTATATATCCAAGCATGAAAGGCATCTTATGGTACAGCTGTTGAAGCTGAGATTCAAAGATGACACGAGTGGGATATCAGGAAAACAAATGAAGGAAAAATTAAAACGAGGAGGCCTTGGAGCCTTATTAAAAAAAAAAAAAAACTATCTTAACTAACATGTTTGCTGACTTTGTATTAAGAGGACCCATTGGTCTGTTGTTTGCATCCAAGTAGGATCACATGGTAGGAGTTAACTTGGGGGGGGGTGGGGCAGGGGAACTAGAAGCCTTCTTCCACTACTCTCCTCCCCCCACAGACAGCAGAGGGCAACTCTAGTGAAAGCTTGCTGGTTTGGGTGTTATCTATGAGGAATGTATTTTAGGGCCCTCCTTTCAATTTTGGATCTATACAGTAGGATGGAGACAGTAATTTTCATTGCTTTGAATTTAGCAGAGTGATTTAGGCAAGTGCCTCTTCATATTATGAATCCTCTTTCAGCATGTAGGCTTAACAGATGCATATTAACGTTGTTAATTCTGAACGAAGAAGCATGTAATCCCAAACCATCAAAACAAATATCATCATGATCAAATTTGACAATCTACTCCTAGGATATTAATGGCCATTTTCAGAGATGACTGAAGTTCTCTCTTTCTAAATGTAGTGTTATAGGTGTACTTAGCTAGAGTTGAGAGCTAAAATTATTTCTTTGGTACTGGAAAAGTTTTTTTTTTTTTTACCTGCAGAAAATAATTTGTAGTTTGTGTGTTCAGCCAACTGTTGAAAATTGTCTTATATCATCAATAACTGGTTTTCTTGAGGTTTTTAGGTTGATTAAAAACATTTTAAAAATTCAAAATTTGGGAAAATGAAAAATTGGAAAACTTTCTAATTCTGAGTAGTTTAAGTGCATTAAAAACGAAAAGGAACTATGTGAAGGCAGCATATTAAACCATTTATTTCATGCGTTTAATCCTTTCTGAGGCTGATTTATGACTAGAACTTAAAAGGTGCTCAGCATGTACAATTGATGTTTTAATTAGTTGAGTTTGTTGGAGTTCAGAACTTTAGAGTTTAGTCATTAAAGAGCAGTGTTGATTCAGTGCTGAAGTGTTGATCAAAGCCTCATAAGGACTTAATAAAGGAGGAGAGTAATGAATTGAATATCCCCAAAGCACTTCAAAATGCATTCCTCTAGATTGCTGTACAATTAAAATTTCTGCAATTGAAGCTGCTAATCTCAGATGAATATTTTTTATTATTACTCTTTTATACTATTTCTCTTATGCTTGCATGTATGTTTATCATAGCACACGTCTCATGGAGAAGGACGTCAAGAAGTTTCCTCTCGAACTGGGCGCTCTGGAGCTCGTTGTAGAAATTCTATAGCATCCTGTGCAGATGAGCAACCCCATATTGGAAATTACAGACTACTTAAAACTATTGGAAAGGGGAATTTTGCAAAAGTAAAACTGGCAAGACACATTCTTACTGGCAGAGAGGTAAAATGTTTAACTGTTTAAAACACTGTTGTATCATGCATAGTTCCAGAAGTACTTTTGAAATAGTGTTACGTAGAATCCAAGAACCACTTGGCATTTCTGGTTAGATGCAAAAGAATAAACTTATAACCTTTTATTCCAGCAAACATATGCGTATGAAATGTATATAAAAAGGCAAATGCTTTTAAACAAAGGCAGGATATATAGTATTTAAACTTTTGGGTGCAAAGACTGGCCTCGTGTTTGTGTGATACCTAGCACAACTGAACCCTGATCACAGCTCGGGCTTCTGGTGCTGCTGCATTACATTACAATTTGTAATTTACATCTAGTGACAGTTCCTTGCTGCACTTAGCAGCTGTAGTCATACTAGTAAGTATTTTTTTTCTTCCAGAGGTAATTCAGATACTGTAGAAAGTGTTTCATGTTTTATGCTGTTGTTACTGATAGCTAGTTTGTCTACTAAAAGGCAAAGACTTTTCCTCTCAGTGTTTCTTTTTGACCTACATTTGATAGGTTTGGGTGGAACTTGTTCAACAGAGGTTGGAAAGACCCGTTTAGCCAAGATGTACAAGGAAAACCTAATGGCTGAATGCAGTGGGTTAAGTGGCATTTACCCTTCTTGAGTTAATACAGAAAGTGGTACAGTATAACCTCATAAATCCGGCATGCTTGGCTCCGAGCACCTGCCAGAAATTTGAAAATTCCAGATTTTTTAAACTGTGCAGCCGCTGCTCCAGGTCCAGCCACTGCTACTCCACCCACCGCAGATGCGGAGGGGGAAGCCTGCATGCTGCTGCCATCCACTACCCTGCAACGCCGCTCTGTATGCAGCCACTGCTCTGGGACTGACCACTGCTACTCCCTGATGTAGTGTATTCTTAAAAAGTGCCAGGTTTTTGAGAATTCCGGAATTTTGAAAACTGGATTTATGAGGTTATGCTGTATTAGGAGTAATGGAGTTATTAGTTTCTGGATTGGAGGTGGATATTTTTTTAAGAAGGACCTGACTAGCTGTGCTGCTTAAATGCTCTATGGGACTTTTTAAAATAATGTTCTTTTCCTGCCAAGTTTCCAATTAAGTTAATTGCAGTCTGACTAAAATCTGCTCTATGCTCAATGAACTTTATAATTTCCCACATTTAAACTTTTGTTCCCTAGTAAACAGCAGTAGTACAAGAATGTATTCAAGGGTTTTCTGCCATGGCCCAAAGCAGTACATAAAAATGGCCCAAATAAAAGGATGCTTTTTCCCCCCCTTTTTGCTGTAAATAGGTTTTTTCTCAGATTCATGATTTTACACATTTCTGATGAAAACTTCCAGCAAATAAAAGTGAGGAAGCCTAGGAACTTAGGCCCAAGTACACAAAACAATTTAGGCAGCACATTTCCATTGATTTCAAGCTATATAATTACATTATTTCAACAGAAGTTTGGTGTTCCTCATTTTAGATAACTAGGAAACAAAGCAGGTACATTCTTGTAAAAATTACATGAAGTACTTTGAATCACTTCTGGAGGAAAGACATGTAAACAAGAGAGCTTACCTTCTTGTTACATGTATGATCATTTTTATACTAGGTCTGAGTTTTCCAACCTGTCTTGTTTATTTTTTTTTTTTGCAAGAAATAGCTGCTAATCAACCAGTCTTGAAGGCAAGTGTGTTCTGTTTTGGGGGGGGAGGGGGGCGGGTAACTGTTTGTGTTAGGTGATGTGCACTGAGGAAAATCTAAGTTCTCTTATGATAAACTTGTCATTTTCCTGATCATCCTAGTCCTCCTCTGCACCTGTTCCATTTTAAATTAATTTTTCTTGAACAAAGTTAAACACGATATTTCACATCAGATCTTACCCAGCTCTTACACAATTAAATTAGTATTTCCCTTCTGGAAGTACTTCATCTGATATATCCCAAGAATCATATTTATGGGGGGGTTTTTAGTTACATTCTGTTGGTAGCTCAGAGTCATCCTATAATCAGCTAGTACAGCAGAGCTTTCTGCTCCTCTGTTGTTTCCAACTGATGAATTCACAGTTTAAACCAAAAATTCTTGTTACTGGTATATAAGTGTATTACCGAAGATTTTGTAGTATCAAATTTCATCCCATTTCTTTTAGTTCAGTCCTGAGTTCATCCACTTATTTTTATACGATATGCCATGACCCTTTGCATCGATGCTGACTCCTAACTTTGTATCATCAGCAGGGATCCAGATTTTTCATTTCCTGCAGAAGAACATGGGTTTTTTTCCTTTTGCAAACAGCTCTCTGCAGGGTGTCAGAGTTCCAGCCTGCAATTAGCTGCTTGCTAAAAGGGTGTGAAACCTTAAGCCCTGTCTGGCAGGTGGTAGGGGCAGGAGCAGGGCCTGAGAATCTGAGACCAGCCAGGCCTGGCTCATACTTGCTTTGCCTCCTGCAGCCTTTGGGGTAAGTAGGGCCTGGGGGCAAGGGGTAGATGGTGGCCCCCTCTGGGGGGTAGACAGGGGGCTACCAGTGGTAGTGAGAGTCACCAGTAGGACTTGGGGGGTTGTGCCTTGGGAGTCAGGGGCACCAGCATATCAGGGCTGCTCAGCACTGCAAAGCAGCAGGAGGGACAGCCATAGCTGGGCCCATGTCCTGGTGAGCGAAGGGGGCAGGGAGAATTTTGATTTTCCATGATTTAAAAAAAAATAAAATCAAATGCCAAAATGTATATGCATTTAAAATGTATTTTATTATAATGATTGAGGCACTGGTAGGCTTCCAAATTGCTTTACAATTTTAAATATTAAGTTTAAATATTACATTTTAAATATGTCAATAAAACATTGAGTTCAAAAGAGGAGTCAGCATCGATGTATATGTATATAGTGGTGTTTCACTTTAATTGCAGAAAAACATGGATTTGGGGATTTTTAATTGAGAATTTTGGATTTTTTTAACAGAGAAAGCCAGGATCCCTGGTCAGCAAATTTCAGGCAGGAGTACATGAACCAGTAGGAATAGTTTACCCCTCTTTCATTGAAGGTTAGGCAGAGGATGGTTTCCCTGTGCTCCGTGCCCAGGAGGGAAATCCAATGTGAGCTGGAGCCAAACTTGGTTAAGATGATTACTGCAGTGTTGCATCTGACCACCAGCAAACTTCCACTCACAGTGGAGCTAAACTACCAAATGGATGGTAAACTGTTTAATCTCAGCTGATTCCAAGCCAAAACCAAGACAACCCCCACCTCAATCAGTAAGCTCCAGGACGCTGATGATGCTGTAGTATGTGCCCACTCAGAAGCAGATCTTCAGGCAATCATTGACATCTTTACCAAGGTGTACAAGAAAGTGGGACTGATGCTTAGCATTTAGCAGACTAAGGTCCTCCATCAACAAGCTCTTAATGAGCATACCCTAGCTCCAGTAGTTCAAATTCACATTGAAACTCTAAAGAACATTGAGTATTTCCTGTGCCATAGATGCCATCTCTTGTAGAAGGGTGACATCAACAAAGAAATCCAACATCACCTTATGTGCAAGTGCAGCCTTCAGATGCCTGAGAAAACAAGATTTGAAGATCATGGCATCAGATCCAAAACCTAGCTCATGGTTTATCAAGCAGTCATGATCCCCACCTTACTGTATGGAACTGAGACATGGACAGTGTACAAGAGGCACCTCAAGTTGCTGGAGAAGTACCATTAATGCTGCCTGCAGAAGATGTTTCGAATCCAGTGGGAAGACAGATGCGAACATTAGCATCCTTTTGCAGACAAACACAGTGAGCTTTGAGGTGATGATCGTCTGACATCAACTTTGCTGGGCTGGCTATGTCTGACTCCAGACTCCCAAAGCAAGTTTTATTCTCCCAGCTTGGTCAAGGTATATCTTCAAGAGAAAGGCAGGGAAAACACTTTAAGGACATCCTCAAGGCCAACTTGGAAAAATGCAACATTAACATCAACTCCTGGGAGACTATTGCCCAGGACCGTTCCAAATGGAGGAAGTCTGCTGCAAGGATCTCAATCCTTTGAAATATTACGACAACAGCAGGAGATGGAAAAATGGAAGCAACAGAAACAGCATGTTGCAGGCCAAACCAACAGACCAGAGTGACCCACCCTGCATGGAAACATGCTTGAGCTGCAACAGTATGCTGATCCCAGATAGGCCTCATGAGCCATCTTCAGACCCACAGATAAGACAGTTATGGAAGACATTCATCCTTGACTGCAAGGCTTTGCCTGTGATGGCCCTCTTAAGTACAAGTACTTTGCTCAGTTCTGCTTCCAGTAGTTGGTTTCCCTCTTTGTACTGAATTTGAAGTGTTTATTTACCCATTTAAGCCTGCCTCTTCCTACAAGTTTTTCCCTGTGCTGGGATTATATATTTCGGATCTTTTCAGTCAAAGAGTACCAAAACTTCCCAGAACTCCTCTGTTGGGGGTCAGCAGTGTTTTTTGGCAGGGGGGCTAGAAAAACCCAGCTTGGGTCCGAGGTGAGCAAACATTAGGACCTGGCTGTCTCCACTGCTGCTGCCTGCTGCCTGGCTGTAAAGGAGGTGCAGGGAGAGCCCCCCTTCCCCAGAAACCCATGCCTCCTATCTATGGTGCAGTGTGGTATGGGGTAGGCAGTTAAAGCCACAGATCTGAAGGTCTACTTTGTCAACCCCATCTCTATGTTGATAGCTTCAGTGAACTTCACAAACGAGTTTCCCTAGTCTATCAAAATTCAGTCTTTTGAACCGTTGTTATCAAACTAGTTTTACTTATTTTTCCGTTTAAAATAAGCTGAACTAACTCGTGATCAGAGGTTGTTTTCTATTACAGTCTTCTATAATTTACTCAGCATAGGCATCTCCCGCTTAATGCTGTTTCATTATAACGCTCATTTTAAATTGATACCTGATTTCATTTAGCGCTCAGCGAGTTTCGTTATAACGCTCACAATCACCATCTTGGGTCATTAAAAACAATTGCGGTTGCTATCTTTGGTTGTCAAATACTGTTGGTTTCGCTTAACTCTCATTTTGCTTAATGCTCGGTTTTTCAGGAACCAATTAAGAGCGCTAACTGGGGCTTGCCTGTACTAACCAAAACCAAGGCTTAAATTTCATCACTTCTTTTTGTCCCATTGACAATTTGATGAACAAATCTATTGAGGAACTTTTTAAGGAAAGTCCAAACTCACTTTCCAAGTTATACCTAAGGATATTGGCCTCCTATGGGGCAAAATGTCACAGCTGTTCAACAGCATTCGATAACATTGTAAAATGACTTGGGATAGAAAGCAAAGAACCCCTTGTCCAGTTGACCTAAGCTATATTTTATTTTCCAGAGTTAAAATTTGGTCAAGACTGGGCTTCAGCCACTTCTTTTTGAGAAGTGTCATGGGAACTTTAAAAAAAAAAAAAAAAGTTTGCAAGGGTTCAGGGTCCCAGTTCCCTTACCTGAATAATGGATTCATAACCTCACAATTCCTTGAAAGTCTTTCAGTCAGAAAACAGCTAAGCAATGTCATTGTCCTATGCTTCAAACTTTTTATCAAGGTAGGAATACTATCTTTGACCAAGGCTGAAAATATTTCATTTGAAAATAAATATTCACAATAAGACTGGAACTGGTATTTTGTGCATTGGATGTGTATCTGCTACATGGGATGTGTCTTGAAGACAAATCTGGACTTTTTTTCCCTGGAAACAATGCATTCATTCTATATCACTAACTGGCCTTTCCCTATTTTAACTAAAATATACTTCTTCCCCTTGCCCCCGCTTCCCTCCCCTTAGAGTTCTGTTGTCTCCTGTTTCTGCATGTGTTCTCCCTGTTAAGTTCTAGTGCATGGTAGATTGTGGAATTATACACCTGGTCAATCCAGTCTTAATATATTGTACAACCATCCATCAGATTGATGTTATATTCAGTCATTTTATTTCTGCTAAATATACATTTGTGTAAATTCTCCTTGAGAACTGCTTAAAAAAATGTACATGAATTGTAACAGAAAAGGCCTATTGAAGTCCAGCTCCCTTAGAACCCATTGCTTTCATGATGGTGATATAGTTAATGTGCTTAAATAGTGAAAAGGACATTATTTTAAAGGTTTCCTGTTTCTGATCTACTTAAAGGCTACACTTAGAAAAATGAAAATGATATAGAGAAGCTAAATAACTTCTCAATAACCTTCTCTGTTAAGATTGTTATGAAGATACCTGTGAAGTAGTTGCTTTTTTTTTTTTTTTTTTTTTTAAGGAATAAAAATGAGATACTGTTTCAGACTAAGCTGTCAAAATAAGACGAGTAGAAATAAATTTGATTAAGAATCTGTGTATCACATCAGGTTTGAGTGGTATACATCCAAGACTTCTGAAGGTGCCCAGATCTAAAGTGGCAGAACTGTTAACAAAAAAAAAATGCAATACAATTAAAGAGCTAAAAGGTAGACACATCAGGACAATGAAAGTAGACACATTTATCTTCTTCCTTTGGAAATAAGTTCTAGAGATGATGTAACAAAACAGTAAGCCATACATCTGTTCCTGGCAGTTGGCTGAAATAATGATTAAGAACTATAGTAACTTACCTGGAAGATTATGAAAAGGTCTGACCAACACTTTATACAAAGGAAAATTATTGCACTAATCTGTTTTAGTTCTCTTAATGCATCAGTAAAACTGCAGTTAAAGGAGAATGATTTAGAGCATGTAAGCTAATATTAAAGTTGTTAGAGGATGAAAAGCAAAGCATTCTTACATATTGGAAGTTAACAAGAGACAAAGTAGGATTAAATAGTCAATTTTAGGGTTCTGTACTAAGTTTAACATAAGTTTAGTCATCTTAGAACTAAGATGACTAAGGGGGTGGTCTCTGAGGTAGTAAAATTACTGTTTAGTTAATAAATACCAAAGAGGACTGGCAGGGAAGTTTAGACACACCCTGAATGCACAACACCAAGATGAATGACGTTCGTTGTCCATAAAGAGAGAGAGAAAGTAACGGATGCTTGATGCTTAACTGTTTCAGCTCAGAAAAGGGACTTAGATATTATTGTAGATCAGTATAACATGTCTGCTATGAGATACTCGCACCTTTCCCGAAAGTATCTGAAACTGGACTAATTGGGTTTCGTGTAGTAACTTCTGGGTTCACATTGTTGGGGAAAAAGTGCTTTGTGTCTTAAAAGTTTCTCGCACTTGCTTTGTATCTGAGTTGCATTGCAATGAGGCTCCTCTGCCTTGCTATTTTTGGTTTGGAGAGACCTCATCAGACCATAAGTGTGTGTGGTTACCCATGCGCACAGTTCTCTTTTGATCAGTTTGTTAAATTAATACTTTAGTTTATTAGCAATCTTCTGTAGTTTTTACTAGGAAAATACAAACCTAATAAAAAGTAAAAGTATTTCAAATTAGTTCATCTCTTTTCTAGAATATATTTCTCTTCATATCCAAAAGTGAATGAGTTAGTAAAACACTTGGGCATGCAAATCTAAAGTTGTTATAGGTCAATTTAGCTATTAAAAAGTATGTTTTAGCAGTGCCTGTACTTTGCCACAGAACTTTGTTTTTAAAATGTCTTCCCAGGTTTAAAAAATATAAAACATTATAGCTACCATTTTGAGAGGGCTATAATCTAGAGGAAAATGTCTAGTATTAAGTTGCACTGCAAAACATTTTATAAATGTATGTGAACATAAAAGAAACATTCGAATGCTTCTCTTCTGTAATCGCACTAAATGCTACTTTTAATCTCTGATCTGTCCAATGCATGTAAATAGAACTGAGGTATGCTGAGGAACTGAGGAAATTTGTTTCAAATAATTGTTAATAGAATAAAAGTGTGTATTTTTTTTTTTAATTTGCACAAAAAGCTAGATTCTCTTTATAACCTGATTTATTGTCTTGCATTTTTAAAAAGTTTAATTCAATTTTTCTTTTAGGTTGCAATAAAAATAATTGACAAAACACAGTTAAACCCAACTAGTCTACAAAAGGTAAGCCTCTCAATTTTTTTTTCAGTTGTACTGCCCCTTGTTCCCTTCACAATCTCCGTCCCTCTTATGTTGTAGTCTCTGAAGCAATACCTACCTCTTTCTTCATATAATTATGTCCACAAGTTTGACTGCTAAATTTAATAATTTTCCCAGTAACAGGCCTGTTTAGGACACTTTGAGTCCTGCAACATGAGTACAGTCTCTAAAGATGAAATGTATACAACATTGCAGATTAAGAAATCTACATGTTCTTAGCCAGTCTTATTTTAAGCTACTGAAATACACTGAACAGTATCTCACCTGTGACATTTTGTCTTTCAGGTGTGATCTAACTCAGTAGAAGGGTCGTGCATGAGTGTCCGCATTTGTCTCTGTTACTCCCAGAGGCATTTTGCTAAATTGACAAGTAGAAACCATTTTCCCTGACTTCTGGCCCTGAAAACTCTTTAGGCTGAAAGTTATGCAATGTCTGTCTTGCACATAATTGTCGCCAATAAGTATTTTATAGATTGAAACATAGTAATTTCTGACTGAGATGTGAGTGAAGAGATCATCTCATTCCCTGCTATATTGTGTTGTCCTATCTGTGCTAGCAAGAGTAAGTAGTGATAAATGCTACTCACATCACACAAGTCAGTCATTCTGATCCAGAGCACATACATGGAGTACATTAAGTGCCGTTTTTATATAGATGCTTTTATAACTCTAGCACATAAAATAAAACAGGAATAATCACAGGCTTTTTATTTATGTAATTTAATGGAAGTACATGGACCTGACTCTATTTGGATAAGAGCGAATACCAGGAATTTGGTTTTAAGCAAAATTAAGCTAAATAAACTGAATAGCATACGTAATTTAATTTATGTACATGATAAGATGATCAGCTCAATAGGTGCTCTAATCTCAATGGAGCAAAAGCAAATAAGAAAAATGCACACACTTCTGGACTATGGCTGAAGTCAGTTGCAGTCAGTCAGATTTGTAGGTAATTTTTGTTTAAATGGGCTCAGGTAGGTTGCGACTAAAAGCCATTAGTGGATGGCTTTTTAGCCTGTAGAAAAGGGCTTATTCTTAAGCCAACTGTCACAGCTCCTTGTTTGTAAGGCTCAGCAAAGTGAAGAATTAAAAGTGCAAAAGCTGACAAGTGTTTGTTAATTTTTGTATTGTGTTACGTGTTATAATGATTTGTAGTGGCCCCTTTATGTTTTATAGTTGTGTGGGATTGTGAATTGATCATTTTGGGGATGCTTTGATAAGGGGTTTGCAACCTTTTTAAAGGAGTGTACCCCTTCTGGATACACCGCATCTGGCTACTGCTACCTCCTCCCCCCGCCAGCAGAGTGGGGGTGGGTCTTGGCAGCTGGACCCAGAGCAGGTGGGGTGCTTGCACGCATGGTGGTGGATGGTGAGGGCAGCTGTCGCATGAGAGTTCCACCCCACTTCTCCCCCCCACATCCGGGCAGCGCCTGTGCGGCCCACACATAACATGTAGGGGTGCACCGATAGAGATTTTTGGGGCCAAGACTGATAGCTGATATTTAAGGAGGCATATTGGCTGATACTGATCCAATTTCCAATACAGCTGCCTCCAGCTGGTAAGTCCGGTGTGGTGGAAGGGGGAGAGGGAGGGAAGGGGCATGGGGGGGGCGAGGTGCAGGGCAGATCAACGCCCTTCACAGTGAGGGAGGGGCCAGAACCGTGGCTCATAGAGTGGGGAGGCAGCTTCTGCCACTGCTTGTACCCGGGGGGTTGGGGCTTGTGGCCCCTGGATTAGGGCAGGGCAGGCTCTTCTTGCAGGGGCTGGACTCGGACCAGGCGCCAGCAGTCCTGGGAGAGTGCTGCATCCACCCCAAATTTCGCTGGGTGGCTGGAGGCGGCAGAGCTGGGAGCAGAGCAGCAGCAAAATTTGGCTGCACACTGCTGGCTGTGCTCCTCGCTGCCTGAATGATGTGCTGTGGCTGCATGCAGCGTAGGCATTCATTGGCCAAATTATCGGCCCTATTAGTCCAATACCTGATACAGACAGTTTTCTTTATATTGGTACTAATCCAATATTGGACCGATGTATCAGTGCACCTCTAATTTTTTACAGGCAGTTGCGGATTTCATGATTTCCTTAAAATCTGTGAAATTGTGACTTAAGTAGGTCTCTATTGATGCATTATGGAAATCTGCGAGTGACCGTTACTAAAATTTGCTTTAAGTTGCTCAGTTTGTGGGAGGAAGACCTGGAGGAGAGATGTAATAGCATATTGTGATTGCAGGATGGTTCAGAGAGGATTCTGAGGAGTAGAGAGAGATGTCCATGGAGCATCTGAGGAGAAGCAGTATCAGTGACAGCTTAAACTGTCTTTCAAAGATCAGCATTTTCTGAAGCTTGTGCTTAGAATTAGCTTGAGTTAGTGGCCATCAAGCAGAAAACAAACACTTTGCAGGTCATGGGATTTAACAGCCAGCAAAAACTAAGGCTATATGTGCTCACTGACCCCCTCCCCCTCTCCAACCCCTGGCCCCTTTTGTATTTTTTTTTCCCCCAGCCTGGACAAATAGCCTAAACCAGTAGATGGCTTTTTTTTTTCTGTTTTCACTTTAGTTGCAATTGCTTGTGATTTGAATTTTGTGTTTTGCAAATTGCAGCTGCCCGTTTCTGTGGTATGAATGCCAGGCTATCTGTTTCTTAAGACATACAATAGTAGTGAGATTTGTATTTGAGCAGTAAAACATTTATTTTTGTAAAGCAACCAGATTTAAAGAGAAAAGAGACTTCCATGATCTTTGTCATGTGGATTTCTTGCAAAACCTCTTACTGAAAGTCTAACCCAAGTTTTAGAAGTGTTGGGGTTGTTTGGCAGAATTTATAGTCAGTTCTGAATGAAAGATGAAGGTGTACAGTTTGCTTCATGCATACACGCCAAGGTAGAACAACTTTAGTAGCGAGCATAAAATATTTAGGATATGGGAGATGGCAAAAGGGATGGGATGGTGCAGTGTGACTAAGCACTGATGCTTCAACTGCATAAGATTCATTGTGAGAGGCTCTAGTGTCCATCCTTTTTTCTGCCACCTAATCTATTATTTTCCTACATATTTACATCTGCCACCCAGATGTGTTGGCCTGTTTCTGGTGAGACTTGAGTTAAAATGTGTAAAGACTTGCTTTCTAGAGCCTAATTACTATTGTACTGCTTCTACAGATTAAGATGAGAGACTTTAATGCTATACTTCTCTGTTGGAAAGAAAAGTTGGTTTTTATGGCTTTTTCCATGATCATATGGTTGTATGAATTCGATTTTCCAAAAAGCCTTCTTGTTCTCTTATTCCCCAAGATGAAACATGTGACTTCTTGAAAATTGGTTTTCATATTATAGCTGCTCACATCATTCTCGGCAAAATGCAGTGCATCTTGTTAATGCCTCTCTTTTTATAGAGTTTATAACTAGGTTGTTAAAATTAATTTAAATTTAATCAAGTCATTCTGGAAAAATAATTTAATTTCCAGCTTTTATTTTGGGTTATTTTTGCATTTGCAGTCAGTTGTCTTAGTGTTGAACATGATTACTATTATAGTATAAATAATTTTGCCAGTTTCTTCAAGGATCAAAATATTAAATGGTTGAAGAACTCTGTGCAAATATTTGATTCATATAGAGGCCTTTCATTTATATTTAACCATAAACCATATCCTGTCTCTGACGTGCTTTCTTTTTTAATACATGGATTAACTATCCCAGATCCAGAAATGTTGCTTGCGTGTTTGTTGCAAATACTTTTTCTTGGTTTATACTTGACTTATGACCTGTTTGGTGCCTAAAACTAGATCACTAAGCACTTTTAAAATATCTTGTATCTTTCATAGTAAAGGTTAAATGGTTAGATTTTTCTTTACAATCCTGTTGTCATTGAGAATATCTAATGCACTGATCAATTATTTTTGTTCTGTAAATACTTTTAATTTTTAGAAGCTGGCTTGGTGGGGGAGCCTTCCTTCCTGGGGACTTGCTTTAAAGTGGTTGTGACAGTTTGGGAGCAGTAATAGGGAGCCTGCATGTGCTTCTTGCCTCCTTTTCTGCTCAGCCTTTTCAAGAACAATTTTGCTTAAATTCAGTTGTTTTCCTCTTAGAATGAAACTCTCTATAGTTACCAGAAGTGAAAAGATTGATTTGTTTAGTAGGCGGGATAATAAATTTGGCCTACAGTTCTCATACATAAAATATAAGTGGCAGAGATGAGTAGCTGTGCTTATATCTCTCTTCCTCATCTGCTCAATCCAGTAGTGAAATCCCATGACTAATTATACAAAGCAAATTATGGTGGATTCATTCTTGCCCAAAAATATGCTTGCATGGTTCCCGTCTATGTGAATACTAGTTATTCAGGAAGTTTGATTGTTATTCAGCAAGTAAGATTTGTTATGTAGAGGGGTTTGGGGTTTTTTTAATGAGGTGATAGGTAATAGGTCAGCAGGTACTAAACTTAATCCATCAATTGACTATTTTATAATAATAAATAAACAGGGACTTGATACAAAAGAACTTTCATAAATATTAGGGGAAAAAATGACTTCCCATTTCTCACCAGAAAATAATAGTTTACAGTATCTCCTTAAACAGTTGACTGGTATTTTATGTCAAAGATGTTTTTAATAGAATTAAAAAAAAAAAAATTAGTGTCATACTGATTCCCAAATCTGGTGAGAAGGATTTTTCTTCTGGATCTGAATGTTGCAATGGCAGGGCATTGACAGTGCTTCTCATGTCCCTGCTTTTATATATGGCTTGTTTTAGTATGTTCTTGGTGTTTTGGATACTGTGCCCTGTATTTGTTTGTGGAGGTTAAAGTGGTGATTTTGGGGAATACTTGGGTAAACAATTGCTTCTGAATGCAGGGAACTGGACTCAGTAGTCCAGTTGGCCCCTTCTAGTCCCATGTTATGACAGAATAAAAAATGAAGTAAGGATGAAAGTATTGAATGCGTGATGAGGGTCAGAATTAATAAT